TGACTGATGCCTTACCCACCCCATCCTGGAAGACGATGAGGCATTTTTCCTGCACAGGGCCACACCGAACTTTCCAGGCACCACCAACTAACTCAATTTATTCTTAGCTTCTGAGATCCATTAATAACAGCAACCGTGAACACATGTTACTATGTGTCAGACTCCTCTTGCTATTAAGGGGCCAAGACAATGGGGCCTGAAATGTCATGATTTTGTTGTTGTCGTTGTTTATGGATATCCCTGTTACTCAGATTAGAAAATTTAAAAATTCAATATTACAGCAAATACATATTTTTATACATACAAATAAATACACATATGTATTTATATATAAATATATGTAATATTTTATATTTATTTTATATTATTATTATTTAATATGTAATATTTTATATATAAATACATATGTGTATTATATAAAATATTTTATATATAAATATATATTATATATAATTTTATAAAATATTTATATATATTTTTATGTATATATAAAACTCTAGAGTTCTACAGATTCCCTCACTAATTAGTTTCAGTTAATATGGATTCTCCTGGGGAGGCAGAATGAAAGAACATTTAAGTGCTGAGGCTATAGGGTCTGGCAGGACCAAGTTCAGGTCCCATTTCCGCCACCCCAAGTTCTGTGACCTTGAGCAAGTTAATTAACTTCAATAACCCCATGCATAAAATGGGGAATAAACATAGCTCCTACACTAAGGTTCTATTTGTGTAAAGCAGGGTTTCCAAAACTTGCCTAGTGTTAAAAACCACCTGGAAACTATTAAAAACAGATTCCAAAACCCCTCTTCTGGAGAATGGGATTCAGAAAATCTGAGTGAGGGCTCCCAAATTAACATTTTTAGTAAGTACCTCAAATGATCAGTATCATCAGGCAAGTTTTGAAAATATTGGTGTATTAAACAGTTTATATCCCAGTCGGCAAATGTAAGTGCTTTTCTGTTTATAAAAATTGATTTCCTAGAGACCCACCGGGAGGAAGCTGGCTAGGCTGCTCATAAGCCAGTTTCCTTTTCCCAGTCACACCACTAAAGTATAGTTCCCAGGTCTCCTCGCTTCTCAGTGACCCCATGAGATTAGCCACATGAGTGTCAGCAGAAACAGTTTGTCTCTTTCCTCTCTTCATCTCCCTCCCTCCAGTCTGATGGCTGTGTAAACTTGAAGGCAACCTTGAAACCACAAGTTAAAGATGGCAAACGACAGTTTACAAATTTCCCTGGTTTGTAAATGACTTTGTAGCATTAAGTCCCCTGCTAGCTCACACTGGACTGCAACATGAAGAGGGATAAAGCTTTATTGTGTTGAACCACTGGCTTTTGGAGTTGTCGCACAACCAGTGTTATATATCTTAACACATCCATTTTATATGACCAGGGATTAGTGAAACTGTCTCACCTCCTTCCTTCAGGCCCTCAGTCTCTCTGATCCAGCTTGCATACCACTGCCTGATGCTAATCTTAAGACTACATTTTCCTCACATCATTTACCTATACAAACATACATTAATAACTTCATTTATTTACTTCATCAGGTCAAAACTCTTCACCTTTGTTTTAAGAACCCTGAATATCTCACCCTAACTATCTAAACATTACTTCTAGAGGATAGAAAAAAAAAATGTCTAAGAGAAGTATAAAGAACTAGGGAGATATAAAGATAATTCTTTCTTTGTGGAAATCTTGTTTCACTTGGTGTCAGAACCACACAATATAGCACACCATTTTTTTCTTTTGTTTTTTTATAAGGCAGCTCTATGTCTCCTGGAGGATGCCATTGTCTCACACTTCCTTTTTATCTAACCTAGTCTCTGGCACCATACTAAACACACAGCAGGAATTCAATAAAACCTTGTTCCTTGATTGTTGAGCTAAGTTCATAAGGTTTTACACCCCCTTTCTTAATCATAACTGTTTATTTCTGAAATGGAGCACTTTACACAAAGTGCTGGGATAGTGTGAGCAACTAGAGAAAGTATTCTACTGAATGACAGGCAAGGGGTGAGTAAAAGGGGTGTGGTTTCCTCGACTGTAGAAACATGTTGAGAGCTGGTCTGCTGTGCAAGACACCCTTCAGTTCCATATGCAGCGGGAAGTAGTTATTTGTTTCCAGCTACTTAGAAGTTTGTGTACAAATATAGAAAGTACCCAAATCCTTAGATTTTTTAAAAACAGATTTTAAAGGAGAAAAGAATCATAAAAATTATCTAGTCCATTCCCTTCATTTTTATAGATGGGAAAATAGCATGGTGAAAAACAGTTTGACCAGGGGAAGGGTATAGCTCAAGTGGTAGAGCGCGTGCTCAGCACCCAGGAGGCCAGAGGTTCAATCTCCAGTACCTCCTCCAAGTAGAAATCAATGAAGGAACCTAATTACCTCCCCCTCATTAAAAAGCTTGACCAAAAGCAGTATGTCCATATTCTGGTTTCAGTCCAACATGTGTGGCTTGAGCAAGCCACTCAGTTTCCTTCAGCTTCAATTCCACATGTAAAAATTAAAGGAGCAAGATGATATGTATTTAAGGCTCCTTCTAGCTCTGGGATTCTAATAGTTCTATATGCTTAGTAAGTACTTTTAAAAATTTAAGTAATGTTAACTTATAAATCCACATAAATAATGTGATTTCTATATTTATACAATAGACTTTGAAAAAGTTCTTATACAAGACTTGAAAAAATCATACAACATGCTGGGTTAATAAATATACTATGATACTCTATTTAGCAAAAATATGGCAAAACTAAGTTAATGAGCTCTTAGTTTAAATCAATATAAATGAATTACAACCAAAACTAAAATTACGGCCTGTTCTTTTAGAAAGCTGTGGTAATAGATTTTTGCCTGTACTGCTTTATTTAAATCTATTTTTGAGCATATAATGAGTGAGTTTCCCCAGTACCTAGGTTATGACAGGGACATAAATTAGGCACATAAAGGAAAAAACTTTTGCAAGCCATCATATTACTACTTAGTACATAGAAGAAATAAAATTACTAAATGATACACATAAGATTTTGGCAGGGAGGAAGTATGCAGCTTTTATACTGATTTATTCCAACAATGCTGCCTACAAACTAGATCCACACTTATTCACTACAAACTATATATAACTCAGGTATCTGCACAGAATCCTCGATCCCTTCAGCTCTAAGTAAAACTGTCCCCAAAGCCCCTCCCTGATTCTACAGCCTGTGCAAGCTCAAATCCCTCCCCAGGTTTTCTGTGAACAGAATCATACATCCCCTGCCTTCTCATATGTGGATTCTCTGTTTTGCTCCTCAGCAAACCAAACGTGAAATTCAACAGCCATTTCATCCATTTCCACAAAAGCTACAGCAAAGCATTAATGAGAACTAAACACCTTCCTGAAGATCAAGGATCATGAGGAGGAATCACACAGCAATTTTAAGATTCTTACTAGACATTCCTTTCTCCAAGGACCCTTCAACCAGCCTGTCACCAGGAGTCCTCTCTTGGCACTTCCTGCTGTAGCAGACTTCTCTCATCTTTCTTCATGCTAAGGAGCCACAACAACAGCAAATATATATTTTCTCATCTCAGAGAGAGCAACTCAGCCGCCTTTTCTAAAACTTTCTTCAGTTCTCAGGGCCTTGGGTCATATATTTGGGATATTTTTCCAAAGTTGTCTCCTCTTTAAGACAAGATCCTTTTTGTTGGAAGTTACCGAAAGCAACAAATCAGCTTAAGCCACAAGGGAGATTCCCTGGTTCATGTAACTGGGAAGTTGGGGGTGGATTCTAGGACTTAAAACAGTGCCATTTAGACTTTCTCACTAATTCTGCTTTTCTCTGGATGTTGGCTTTGTTCTCTCCTACCTGTCCATGTTGAAGGAGATATGGAAACTGGCAGCTAGGGGTCATTCCATTAGAGCTCACAATTCAAGAGGAACAAGAGACACACTTCATCTGTTATTGCCGTTCTCCAGACGCAGTACAGATCCTTACAAAAGGCTAAATCATGTGTCAAGACTGATGAACCACACACACAATAGGGGGGTACAAGAATGGCTTCTTACTTACATAATGAGGCTTTCTGGAGAGACCAGCCGGAGGTACTTTCCATGCTAAACAAAAAATGGCATAAGAAAGCCAAGGAAAGAGACTGGATCAAGGCTTTTATTGTGATTAAGAGGTGGGGCCAGAGCGAGAGTTCCTATGCTTAGACAGGTGCTTGCCTGGTTTGAATCTCCCACCAGCACCAAAGAAGAAGCATTGACCTTTCTTGTCATCTTACCCAGATGGGAGGCAGAAAGGGAGAGGAAGGGGTAGGCTGAAAAGTTTGTTAGCAGTTTCCAAAATATGGAGTCAGACTATTTATTACATTAGCTCAACTTAAGTCACATATCCGATTATCAGAATCATCACTGCGTCTGGCAGGATACAGTCCTGTAAAAGATCCTATGCTCACATCTGTGGCCATGGGGTCAAGATGCTGAAATTGGCAGCCACACAAAATCCAGTGTAATGGGTGGTGGGAAAAGAGCAGATCCTCAAAGAAAAGATACAGGCTTTTGCCAAAAAAAGTTGAGGTAGCTGGCTGAGCAAGAAAACAACAACAACAACAACAACAATAATAATTCTGTATCCCAGTAAAGAGATTACAGAGCTACCTGGTAAGATTTTTTTTTAAAGTCCCCATCTTGTTATGTGTGATGGGTAGCACAAAAAAATCAGCAGAGGTACATAATACAACAGCACTGAAGTTTGTATTCAGAATGAACTAGTTAGGAATGTAAAACCACTCACTAGCTCTGGGGACTTACGCAAAAGTAAAATAAGAAAAGGGAAAAGGAAAAAAGGAGAAAATAAAGAGTTTTAGAGACTGCTGAGTAAGTGCCAAGTAATATGCTAACTGCTTAATGTGGATTATCTCATTTAATCTCCCTTAAGAACCCTATGATTTGAATGCTGTTATAACTCCCACTTCATACATATGAAACTGAAGGGTAGAAAAGTTAAATAACTTACCCAAGTCCTACCGCTAGAAAGTTTTGGTTCCTGAATTCAACTCCAGTGTGAAGCGTGCGTGATTGACCACCATGGCTTAACTTCTCTAAACTTCAGTTCATTTCCCTGTAAGATAAATAATGAATAAATTTTAAAAATTAGCTCTTAAATCTTTGCTCTTCAACCAGTCCTCCCAACTGCAACTTTAATTTTTTTTATTATATTATATAAAGCAAATTCTATCTCTTCTTAATTCTCACTGCCAGCTTCAGTCTGATTCTCAAACAAAGATCTCACCTTCAGGCCCAAACACCTCTCAAAGTATTTTTTCAAACTAAGACAATTCCCTCCCTGAGAACTGTGCTTATAATTTTTCTAGCTCATATAAAATGATCAAAATAAAAATGATAAAGAACAACAATGTCATTACTATCTCACTATCACACAAATGACAATGAAATCAATTTTTACTAGGAGGATAGGCAAAAATCAGGTAGTCAAAATTGCCTTTAAAAATCTATCCAAGCCCTGATTTGAGGCCGACATTTAATTTGTAATTTAGTAAGGCCAGTAGAGCTAGATCTGCCCCTAGCACTGAGGAATACCACCTTTTTTGATTGAGCCCAATGGAATATTGGGCTTATGTTTAAAAAGTCGTGTATGAGAAATACATACCTTTAATCAATAAAAATTACATTAAGCAAAGCAAGAAACTCAGAGCATGAGAGGTGTGAAGAAATTAGGATTAGTTGTGGTAAGAGTAGATTCAATGTGCCTTAGAATAACCATGAAGAGATGAGATCATACTGACATTTGAGAAAGATTATCATTTCAATGTGGAAAACAACTGAGAGGAAAGAGACCAGCATGAAGACTGTTGTAGGACTTCAAACTGAAAAACAACGGTAGTGCAAACTCAGGTGGCAGCAGTGGGGCTGGAGAGAAGGAACGGATTCAAGTGTTATCAGGCGGTAGAACAGGGTATTTGATTGGATGCAGAGGATAAAGGAAAGGAAAGAGTCAAGGGTGAAGACTGGATAGTAGGATAATTTCCATATGATACTACCAACACAGAAAACACTGAAACAATGACTTTGTATTATGTGGGATACTGCCCTCCGTTAAAGCAGCATGGTTGCTCTTTCAATATCATACCAATCTTTTAACCAAATAACCCCAGGTCTTTTTTACATAAACTTCTGCCAAGCTAATGTTCCCCAATCCTTTATTTTGTACACAATTTTTTAACCTCTTGTTCCAGTACGTGGCAGTTCTCAATGTTGATGCTCACATCTGAAAATGTGTGAACTATAATTAAATATGAGAAACATGGTTAAATCTATGGACAAATTACAAATTTTACAGTCAGTTTTTTTTTCTTTCACTATCTACGAGATAAGTCCATCTGTCATGTGTATGACGAATAGAAATTTCTGTGTGGCTCAACAGGATAGACAGGACAAGACTACTTCCTGCAGATCTGAGCTACAGGAAGATCAATTTTAGCTCTATATTAGGAGAGCCTTTCTAGTATTTGTAGCTATACATGAGTGGAATGAGATAGTATATGTTCTGATGTTCTGTCTCTAATGGTGTTTAAGAGGATTCAAGCTTTATTGGAAGAATTAGATCAGATGATCCTTCCAAAAGAAAGAATGATGATGATGATGATAATTAATAATATTACACTGAAGCCAAAATACACACTATCATTAGGGTGTGCAAAAAAGCAAGACTCTACTATAATTTGACCTTATCTTGCTCTAGAGCTCAAATCCTGATGATGGCAGTGGAGAACACAGTCTTTAAGAGAAATACCTTCTGTCAGGGTCTTAATCTCTTTCTTTTTTTTTTTT